AAAATGTCATATATATATATATATATATATATATATGAAGTATTTATAGGATACATTGAAATTAATTTGTGTAGAGAAAATCAACTCTAATGAGGACATTTGTTCTTAACCTTGCTGACGGGTCACTGGTATACATGTTTCCATGTCTGAAAGTTGCTGACCGATCACGAAATAACTCATGTCTGCACTTACATTAATTTAAGCAATTTTAAACACCTTGCTGACCGGTCACGATGGAAAAGTACCCGGCCACACAGGCGAGTTGTGGCTTGAAGTAGCCATACAGCAAGGTGTTAAGTCATTAGTGACTGTACTGAAAATACATGTGTTTCCTTTAGGTACAGTGTTACCTAGTACATGTTTGTTTTGTTGTGGTTTCTAAACTAGAAACAGGAGAAAAGTTGAGGAATACAGGGTGGGGCAAAAGTAGGCTTGCAGTTGTGAGTACGCAAAGCACAGTTTATTCTTGTATTATTATTTATTTATTGTATTATTTTCCATACAAACAACCATAACCCTACTTTTGCCCACCCTGTGTAAACATTCTGAATAGGAACCAGATAGAACTCGGATTTGAATGGATGCTTATTTTGAATCAGGCTCCCATTATCAGTAACCTTTCATCTTTTTATTACTTTAAGAAAAGGCCTTCTCTCTAAAACTCTAATTTTGACACATAGGAGTCTTATCGCCAGATAATGAAGATGCGACCAAAAGACTTGAAAAAACGGCTCATGGTGAAATTCCGTGGAGAAGAAGGTTTGGATTATGGCGGCGTGGCAAGGTGAGGTGCTAATTTATTCAGCCCTCCTGCTGCGTGGACTTAGGCATAACTGTAATAAAAGGTTGACAGAAAGAAGTTTTTTTGCCACTTTCTGGTGCTTGTCTTGGAATAGTCAGTACTACAAACATTGCCTTCAGTGAGCTTTCTTAGAATAAGAATCCCTAAGAACATGTGAACACTAGCATCTTGCCAGAACTTACCAGCATGTACATGATCCTCGCCATTAATTTACTTTTTATAAAGTGAGAATTAAACTTTTAAACTTACCCCCTTCTTCATCTGGAATGACTGAACCTGAACCATGAAGGACCTGAAATTAGTACTGAAGGTGGCCTTGCTTTTCTCATTAGAGGATCTCCAGGGTGGGAGAAGGGCATTTGTATCAAAGGAATTTTGTAAAATGAAATTTTGGTCAAAATAACTTATGGAAATAATTCTTTTAAATGGACTATAATAATGAAAAGCTACTATTTCCTGTCCTACCTCTTTGTACCTTTAAGATAATGCTTTTTTTTCTCTTTTAACTATTTATTCCAGTAGATCTTTATATCACCAAATTGATCAAATTCAAATATCTATTGATTTAATGATTTATGGTCATAGACACAGATAAACTGGATGGATGGTGGTTGTAGTGAGTATCTAATTTAATACTCCCACTTTCCAGTTTAGTAATATCAACATTTTTAGAACTTCTGTCATTGATTTTGTAACTTTACATAATATGTTTTCACCATTATTTTTTGATTCGCCAACTGGAGACATTATCTCCTGATTTTTCTTTTTCCCTAAGAAAAGGGTAATAATATCCTGACTTCCTCTTCAGCACACCTTCTACCATCTCTCTCACATCCTGTCACCTGTAATATTACGTGTAAAATGTTAAGATTAAGATTTATATTCTGTTCTATATCTAAAACTAAATAAAGTCTCCTGTGCCTGTCTACCTTTTATGGTTAAGAATTAAAAATCAACACATTGTTTACTGTTTTGACAATGTAAGTATTCACTGAGGGGTTAAGTGGCATTCTATAATCTGTTTTATCCTTGTGAACAGATTTTAATTTCTCCAAGAATTTCTGCTTTTTCTTCTTTTTAAACCAGGCTTTGATTTTATCGTCCCATTAAACTTAATGTTTTCCACCCCTTTTTCCCCTGTATCTCCCTCTTGGAGACTGTCCATTCTGAGTGATGATTCTCTAGGCCTTTTGCACAGTTGTCATCATGGGACTTCACTGCTTTCCTGGCCTAGAGCCATTGTTTTACGGATCCCATGGCATCCTCTTTCTTGGCCTACTCCCTTGTGTTACTGAAGTATATCCTCAAGTACCTTTCTAGAAAAGGTGTGTAGGAGGTGAATTTTCCAAGATCTTGTGTCTGAAAATGTCTTTTAATTTACAATTTGACTGATGGTTTGACATTTTATAGACTTCTAGGAAGAAAATAATGTTTATTCACAACTTTGAAGGCACTGCTGTGCCATCCTTCCATACCTAGTGTCTGCGAACACTCACTTCTCCACCAGAAGTTACTTGACCCCATCTAGGACCACTTACCACACATACATTCTACTACCGTTTTCTCTTTTTCACTTCCTCCTCACTCATAATCCACCATCATAATCACTCCCTTGCTCCTCTTTCCATTTGCTGTACTTGCCTGGAAAATCCCAGCTCGGGATGATCCCACCTCAGGCCGCTCTGAGCTGCACCTGAGTAGCTGCATGTGGCTAGGGGCAAAAACATTTCCACCCTGCTGGCTTTCTCTCAAGGAGGCTTCAGTTCTCAGCACTTCTGTTCTCTTTCTCAGATGTCTAGCCTCACTTCCACCCAGCCTCCCTCTTAGCTGCTGACTTTGCTTCTTATTTAACTGAGGAAACAAGAAGCAATCTGAACAATATTTCCTTAGCACCACCAAACATGCCGTTGGCCAAGATCTCCCCCCGTAGGCTTGGCCTTCCCTGCTACGGCCCTGAACAGCCCCTACATGTTCCTGTATGAGAGCAACCCCTGCACAGTGCACCCCAGGCCCCTTGCTTTTACTGTACTGCACATCTATCTCACTTCTTCAAAATGCCCTTTTCTCTTGGCTCAATCTCGTCCACATACAAACGTGCTACAATTCCCTTAAAAGAAACAAACATGCCCCCAAAACCTTCCTTGGACACACTGTCCTCTTCCTGTCAGAGCTTTAAGGAGGCAAGAAAGACAAATAAAGCAAAGTAAAAAGAAAAACAATTAGAAATTCCGGGACAAACAGAAGTATGTTCAAGAATGCTTAACTCTCAGTCATAGCCCTGTTTCTCTGTTCTCTTTATAGCAAAACCCCTCAAAAGAGTTGTGTGCATCCCCATTCCTGGTCCCACATCCCTTGCTTTCTCTTGAATCTATTCCACACAGACCCTTCTGCCTTTTGAAGCCCCTTGTGTCAAGGTGACTACGAGCTACATCTCACCAAACCCACTGATGCCTCCTCAGTCTCTCTCGCCTAGTCCGTCAGCAGTGCTCTGGTCAGCACAAGCCTCGACTTCCCTCTGGCTCGTTCCAGTCCCCTTCCTGTGGCTTCCTCCCCTTCCTCACCTCTGAACATTGGTGTGCCTCCCAGCTTGGTCCTGCAGCAAGTGCCCCCTCTGTGCACCCTCGCTGTCTACATGCTAATGACGCTCAGATGTATCCCTTCCGCCCACTTCTCTCCCCTCAACCCCGCACTTGTTTACCCAACTGCCCCTTGTCTCTCCTTGAATATTTTTAAAGCATCTTTGACTTAACAGTCCAAAATTTCTGACTCTCCCTCTCATACCAACCAGCTCCTCGGTAGTCTTTCCCACCTGACTTACCAGCCCCACTCAGTTCCTCTGGTTCAGATTGTGGAGTCATCCTTAACTCTCCGAGGACTTCTCTCACCTCCCAGCACCAATCCATTGTGGTCCCTCAGAAGAGAGTCCTGCCCATGCACCTCCCTCCCCCACCACCTCCCTCCTGGCTCCAACCACTGAGCCACACCAGCTATAAAATCACTATTGCATACTTACTCATTGAATTCCATTGTGATGGAATTAAATAGTGTATCTGTCTCGTGATTGAGTCTTCTTAAAGGAGAATTCCCCTGTAACTTGTGTACCCTGTAATAATTGTATTTATTCATTAGCTGTTAAATATTGAGCCTCTATCATGTACTAGGTACTAGGTATATAGCTGTGAGCTCAGTTCTCTGCCCTTTTCACCCCTCTGCACTCCCTGTGCAAAGGACCTGTCAGTCTGATGAGGTACAGGTGTTAGTCAAAGAATTACACAAATAAATACAAACTGCACAGGAGGGCCCGTGTTCTGTGAGGACATGTAATAGTGGCCCTTGTGGAGTGAGGGGATAGGAGAGCCTCACGCCTTCACAATTTAGAAAACACAAGCCAATTCTCAGCCCTGCAGCAGTCATCCCAAGCAAAACTATGTTCTGACAAACATTATAATGAGGTCTCATTTGGTTTCTGGGTAGCATTGGGATTTTTCCCCAGCGCCCAAATAAAAAGAATTAAAAAGGGGGAAAAATCACCTCCTGGTCCTGGAACAGAACCAGTCCTCCACCTCTCCATTCACTGTCTCTCACCTCCCACCCCTCAGTTGTTCCGAGTCAGTCTGGGGTAAAGGGTGCAGGAAAGCCTGCCTTTCTCACCTCAGCTCACACTGGTACTGCCTCCCCACAGGAAATACTTTTCCTGTCAGCATTGCCCCAACCATCTTCCTTGACCCTCTCAGTCTTGATCTAGAAACCTCTCTCTCTTGGCAAGCGTAACTCTGCTTGCGCTTGATAGCACTAATTCCACTGCCTGGCGAGAGGCCTGGGCTTTCAGACCCCTGTCCAGGTGAGAACCTCCTCCTCTTTCACGGCCACCCTAGCAGTGCGACTCGGACTGCTCCCACTTTCTCATCGGTGCTGTTCCTTTATAGTCTCAAGATGTCTCAAGAGTTCAGTATCTCAGACTGTTTCAGTTTACCGTTACTTCTTTGCACGGCTGGTCTATAATCCGAGGCACCGGTGTGAACCACAGTTACCAAGTCTCCCACAGGGAGACAGCTTTGTGTGGCCCCCTTGAGTAGCGTGGTGCTGGGTGGGCGGCGGGGGGCGCGAACCCTTGCTCTGCCACCTCCAGTCTGATCTCACGTTGCAGTTTCACCCCTCGGAGTCTCCCTCAGGCTCGAGCGGGATCATGCCTATCTGGACAGGAGGGAGAGATTGAAGCCACATGGGTGCGCCTGTGTCATCATCTCTCTGAGAATCAGCCTGTACTCATCTCCCCAGTGGGTGTTCTGAACCATGGCTGTTCTCTCTCTTTTGCCTGCATAGCTCTTCCCCTCCCACTTCTAGAACATTCCTAATAGGCTTCTTCCCCTTGTCCATGGCTTGCTCAGAATGTTTGCTTGTATTTTAATCACTTCCTGTCTAGACTGTTGCAGGTCCCTGGTTTTTATGAAAAAGATTCTTCTCAAATCCAAACTCCCAAACTTGGGGATGAATCAAAGTACTCTCGCTGGGAACTTCTGCCTTTCTAGTCAAGAGACTTTATAAGATTTGGAGTCTCATCTCCCTGGCAGTTCCTTTCTGTTCTTTGGAGTTCGATAGATACATTCTTTATTTTGGCCTGGTCATCTTTGTGTGTCTCACAATTCTCATGGATTATTTGCATTTGTGCTTATCTTTTCTTATTTGTTCTTAATTCTCTGTCTTTTCTATTTGAAAGAGTAAAGAATTCCAGCATAAAATATGAGGCTGCTCTCTTAATGAGACTTATCTATTTGAAAGGAGTCTGGCTAGAAAGAATAAAAGGCTGTATGTAGAACTGCCACAGGTATTTGTATAAGGTTCCCCATACCTGGGCTTCTCATAGCCCAGCCGTAGCAATCAAACCATACAGCTTCTGTTTAGAGTGCTTTTTAAATTTGTTCTTGATTTAGGGTTTTTTAATAGTGAAATAATTCAAACATAAAGGAATTCAGAAAACAATTCATTCTTATACACCCCATCCAGATTTTAAAATTCTTAGAATTAATATTTTAAGCTTTAAACCAGTTTTTAAACCAGTTTTTAAAATTATAAACATGATAAGTGTTAATGCCCCCCCCAACAAAAAAAGAATTCAATAGGACAGAAATTTATGAAGGGGGAAAAGACTATCTTAAAGAATCCCTGCCTGTCTAGACTGAAATATTTTCTTATTTAAACATCATTACATGTTGCAATCAATCAGAAATTTAAAACTTAGAAAGCAAAAGAAGTGAAAACGCCCCAGAATGCTAATTCTCACATTACTACTCTCACTATGTTAGAGTGAGTCCTTCCTATTTTTCTGTGCATGTGTATCTTTTGTGTGCGTGTATGTACACACACTTTTTAAATAAGAGTAGGGTCATACTGCTTTTCTTGCACTCTTGTCCATTATTACCGCATCATTAACATCATCATCTGAGGTTCTGATCTTTGCAAAGTAGCAGAGAAATCCTTAGCTGAGGGCCAGGGGCGCTGACCAGCAACAGCTGAGAATACTGTTGTGTGTTTTTCTTAAATATGTCTTTATTGATTTCAGAGAGACAAAGGGAGAGAGAGAGAAACATCAATGATGGAGAGAGTCATCATTGATCGGCTGCCTCGAGCCCGCAACCCGGGCATGTGCCCTGACCCGGAATCAAACCTCCATCTCCTGGATCCTAGGTTGGTGCTCAACTGCTGAGCCACACCCGGCCAGGCAATACTGTACTTTTAAGGTGATCCTCATTCTCTCAACCACAGCTCTTTCTGAGCTTCAGAGTTGTTGCCATTTTGGCCAGAAAGGCCATTTCTGGTACTACCAGAACAAGTTTTTACTTCTTTTAAGCTTATTTTCCCAATCTGTACAAATCACATTCTCACAGCCTGCTATTTGTACCAGTTGGGCCTCTAGTGGTTCAGTCCTTTAGTTATGATCTAAAACTAGAAATTTTAGCACATATAACATGTTTTCATTTTTGTTGCTGTAGGGAGTGGCTTTATTTATTGTGCCATGAAATGCTGAATCCGTATTATGGACTCTTCCAATACTCTACGGACAATATTTACATGCTGCAAATCAACCCAGATTCTTCCATCAACCCTGTAAGTATTAATAGTGAATGGGTAGGGAATTTAAGATGGGGAATTTTTTAAATGGACTTTCAGTTTCCATCTCAATTTTGGGTTTATTCACTGTAGCTTACTCAAGGTCTGTGATAAATAAAACATTGAAAGGTAGAGTGAGAACTGGATTAAGACGGACTGTTTCAGTCCTGTATTTCTGGTGGCTGGCATCACTAGTACGCTGTTTTCAAGGAGAGCGAGTGAGCTGCTCACATATTCAGGACCTTCTTGCCTTTGAGGGAGTCTGGTTTGATGACTGCATTTGTTGACAGCACCATTCTGAGAAGTGTGTTACAGGTCTGTCCTCCTCCTAGTCACAACTGGGATATGCCCATACCTAGCTTTTTTGGCCAGCAGGGCTGCTTGTTTTAGAGAAGAGCGAGTGACTGACCCAAGGTGGGACTCTCCCTGTGGGGCTGCATCCTGCAGTCAGCGCCACCATGCACACGGCTGACGCAAATCACAAACCAGCTCCACTCTGCAGGCAGTCGGGCATGACTGAGCCTTTTACCAACATTGAAACCGAGTTTTGATTAATTATCTGATTATAATTCCAACCTGAAGTTGAAATGTGAGGTTCCCTTTTTAGTTAAAAAACAGACATATCTGGTTTTAAATGGTTCTTTTACTTGGGTGGTTCATACTTATTTTCCTCTGTGTTCCTTGTTTTTCCTCTTTGGATTTCTTTCCTTCTTTCTTGTGGGACTGGGGGAAGGGTGGCAGAGGGAGACGGGGAGTTGCCCTTATCTCTTTATTTCTTTTTAGTTCAATGGAAAGGTAAAATGTGAAGTGTGGCCCTTGACCTGTACAGAGCACAGGGCCCTGCTCACAGAAGGGCCTGTGCTTGGTTTGAATCTCTGCTGTTGCCATGTTGGAATTCTTAATCATTTTTGAATAAAGGGTTCTGCATTTTCTTTTTGCAGTGGGTCCCACAAATTATGTAACAATTCTGAGGAAAATGTGTTTGAACTAATAGCAAATAAAATGTTGTTCAGATGATCTATACAAAAGATGTGCTCTCAGTTTTGACTAAGCAGCATTGTTTCATTTGGTCATGAGCAGAACCTGTGAGTAACTGACTCCATGTTGGTTGCCTATGGGGCAGTTCTCCCAAGAAGCTGGAGAAATTACAAGATAATCACCTTGACTGTTTTTAAAATGAATTTGTGTTCTCTGGTGCCCCCTACAGGACCATTTGTCTTATTTCCATTTTGTTGGTCGGATCATGGGTCTGGCTGTGTTCCATGGACACTACATAAATGGGGGTTTCACAGTTCCCTTCTATAAGCAGCTATTGGGGAAACCCATCCAGCTCTCTGATTTGGAATCGGTCGACCCAGAACTACATAAGAGCTTAGTGTGGATTCTGTAAGTATCAACTCACTGTTTACTTAATTGAATAGTCATATATAGCCACCTGTCTTAGTATACGACAAATACATTTTGTGTGTGTGTGTGTGTGTGTGTGTTGGGAATGGGTGTGAAATTGAAGAGAAATAAAGAAACTGTTGTTTTATGAACAGAAATATAAAAGTAGCCTGGCCAGAGTGGCTCAGTTGGTTGAGTGTTGTCCTCTGCACCAAGAGGTTGCTGGTTCAATTCCCAGTCAGGGCACATGCCTCAGTTGCGGGCTCGATCCCCAGAGGAGGAGCATATGGAAAGCAACTGATAGATGTATTTCTCTCTCTCCCCATTCTTCTCTCTAAGCATGTCCTCGGGTGAGGATTTAAAAAATATATATATATATGTAGATTTAACAAAAGATACTTGATTGACTTATTTTCCTCATGATGTTTGGCCAGTTTCTCTTCATGGACTAGTTTCTTTTGTTATTTCCTTGAATTATTAACATGATCATAAATGTTAATCCCTAGACCTGGTGGTTGGTTGGTTTTAGGTGTGGTTTTTTTAAATTTATTGATTGATTTTAGGGAGGGAGGGAGAGAGAGAATGAGAGAGAGAAACATCGATTTGTTTTTCCACTTATGCATTCATTGGTTAATTCTTGTATGTGCCCTGACCGGGGATTGAACCCGCAACCTTGGCATATGGGGAGGATGCTCTAACCCAGCTGAGCTACCCAGGTTGGTTGGTTTTTGACACTCTAAGGTGTCACCAGTTAATCTCTAGAGGGAAAGTACCAAAAACAAAATTAGTATCAAAGTATCTTATATCAAGTACTGTCATACAAGCAAGTGTCAAAACAAAATTAGTATTTAGTCACCTTGTTTTAGAATTATCCTAAACACTTAAAAGCAACAAGCACAGCTACTTGGTAAAACATAGGTGTCCTTTGAGGCAGTTTCACAGGAATGACAGACAGATCCAGGCTCTGGCGAAAGGAGAAGCTGATGAATTGAAGGGAGTCAGGCCTCTCGATTGTATCCTGTGTCTAGTTGGCCTCATTTACGTGCCCCAACTTGAAATGAATAGTCTGTGGGAGTTAGGGCCTTCATCCTGTAGGAAATCTTTCATTCCTTTTCAAGAAATATAGCAGATTAAGGACCCAGTTTTAACTTTCAAGTGTTGCTTTGAACTGATGTACTTGAAAAGGTTGCCTTGAAGGGGGGGAACGGTGTTTCCTTGGTGTGGCTTCCTGCAGGTGGATTTCCCTTTGACCCAGTTACCTCTTTATGACTCCCCTCTTCCTACTCATAGACTCAGTTTACAAAGCAGCCAGGTGTCTCATAAAATCATACGCTGGTAGAGGTGAATGAAAAAGTCGAGAGAGAGAACACATCTGGAACTGGAGCTGTGGCTCCTGGCTCCGTCCAGGGCCCACGCCTCCTCTTGGTCTGGCAGTCAGTAAATGTGCTCCCCCTCTACCAGGTTGTCCCATTTAATGTTCCATTCACTGCTGCAGGGCAGCAAAGGCCTAACTAACATCTGTCTTCTGTCCTGACTTTGACAGCGAGAACGACATCACCCCTGTGCTGGACCACACCTTCTGCGTGGAGCACAATGCTTTTGGGAGGATTCTTCAGCACGAACTGAAACCAAATGGCAGGAATGTTCCCGTCACAGAGGAGAACAAGAAAGAATATGTCCGGTACGCTCTGGCAGCCCTGCTGGTCACCCGGGCACCCAGTATTGTCGTGGCACGGCTGGGTTTGTCTGGCTTGTGGAGGCCTCTTTGCTGTGTGAGGTTTCCCTGTTCCCGTCAGATCGCGCTATAGAAGGGACTTCCCGAAATGCTGGGGTCAGCAGGAGGAGCTGGGGGGTGGGGGGGCCCTGATGTGACCACGGCTGACCTGGCAAAGAGGGCATGACCC